CTCATATCTTTTGTGATTATTTCTCCAGTATCGTTAATATTTTTTTTTCTTAAGAGAAAAAATGCCACACCCTTTCTCCAGCTATTCTTTCTTTTTGAACCAAGAGCGGTCACATTTACACTCATTGACACATTTTACATTACATTTAATATAGTTCTGATTTTGTGTTGGAAATATATCTCACCCTGCTGTGTAAAAATGCCATGTAATAATGAGTGTCAAAGCTCCCAGCAGGGGGTGGCACTGCCTTTCTAGGACCCTGTTGACTATTTTCATAAGACATGTAATGTCTTGTATGTATGACATGTTGGCAGACAGTAATGACATAATAATGTGGGTTTGTTTTTACCTGATGGAGGAAGGTTGTCTCCACGACCAGGTTCATAAGCCATGACTGAAGTTATGACTAAAACAAAAAAGGTGCACGTCTGTAAAAAAAAATAAACAAGTGCAATATCCTGGTGGTTTCAGCATGATGTAAGTAATTTAACTGTCAAACCTCATGTTTTTGTAGACTTGTAAGAAAAAAGTACATTATGACATGCAACTGATCCGGTTTACCGCATAAATCACTGAGTGGTTCTCTTTCCATCTGAATTGAACTGCATTTCTCCAATCAATGCAAAACAAGTGCATACTAATATTCTATAAGAATTATTTGCACATCCTTTTAAATGTGTTTTCTTTTTGTTTTCTTTTTCTGCAAATTTTAGCAAATCTAACTTAGGAGCAAAGAGCCTCTTACCTGTTGCTGCCTTGCAGGAGAATGCTGAAGGCTGAAGTTGTTGTTTGGTTTGCAGGAGAAACCACTTTATTCAACCTGAAAGTTTTTGTCAAAGCATTTAAATGACAGGGGAGAGACTCAGTGTAGGCGTTTAAGCCACTCCCCAGACATAAAATACAACTGCCTGCTCCAATAAACTAAGCCTTGTCACCTGTCCAGATTCCTCAAATTCTTGTCAATCAGCTACTTCTAGTGGAAGAAACAGGGACACTTGCAGAACTGAATGGGTCACATGTAAAAAAGAAATGGGGCAATTTACAAATGATATCCAGCTGTTGGTGCTTACTTTTCTTGTGTGTGAAATTCATAATTTTGTATTTTTGTTGACACTTTTCTTTGTGTTACTCTGTAAACTATAAGCACATGGATAAGGAGATGTGTAGATACTTCCTCGACAATGCATTGAAAGGAAATATTCCTCTCGATCAAAATTACTTCGATTTGATCAAACGTATCAATTTCAGTACCACAATTCAAAGTCTGAAAAGTATTTCCAGATCCTTTTGATCAGATTTTATGGCAAATTCTGATAAAAATAGAACAAATCTTTACAACAAGGAGGTCTGCACCTGAAACACAAGTGAGGCTGTATTTCTGTCACCTGCTGATTCAGCATGTTAAAAGGTTATACCAAATAAGCTATATTAGTATAATCATAGAGTAAAAAAAGGACATTGAGGCATATTTGTGGCATTGGTGCAAAACTGAACAGACCACAGAATGACAGCACGCACACAGCTCAAAGTGACAGTGGTGGGAAACTGATAACAGAAGATACACAGATACATAGAAGATACATAGGCCACAGATCAGACTGTGGTTGTACTGAACAGCTTCCAGGTATGAATGTGTATAACTACGAATGTATGTGCTCTCAGTGAACGTTCCACTAATCAAGAAAGGTTTTAAGAAAGCTGTTTACACTGACAGATATGTTGATTGAGCCTCATTTTTTGAATTCTTGTTAGCTCAGTAATAACAGAGTTGCTTGTCTGTAATTAAATACTTCCTGTTTGCAAAGAGTTAAGTCCAGGTATTCAGAATATTCAATTTCATGTGGCTGACTTTTTCATCATCTCTGTATTTTGGTAGGTATATTGACCATGATTTATACTATTTATCAATACATTTAAAGCTAATTTTTGATCATAAATATGAATCATGATTTTTGAAATGTTTAACTCTGATAACATTTATCTTTTACAGTTTGCATTAGCCATTATCATCATCTATATTTATGATCGCATTTATTTAGACTAATCGTCTGTAACAATGCTACAGCAAGCTGCAGATGAGATAATTAGTGATAAACGTAAACCAAAAGATAAAGTAAGAATACACATAGCCTCACCCTCACAAACTGCTAATCACATGTAATGCCTTCGCCTGTGGCTTCTACATGTTGTCCCAGCTCCGTTTAAAACAAACAAACAAATGTTGCAAAATGTTCTTGGTAAGGTGTCCTTTAAAACAGGTTTTTGTTGGTTCTCTGTCTTAAAAATCATAAAGCTGTGAGATCACTGATTTTCAGCATTGCAATCTACAGAACTGTGATGCAGGATGCGAGTAAGAATAATAGTTAAACTTAAAAAGGGGAATAGTAACGGGAGAAGGATGAGGAAAACACACACACAGCCCTTTCCTTCACTCGTCTGTATTTATTTTAAACAATGCATACAAACACCAGACACATACGCACACCACAGTTATCATGAGTGTCTTTTTATCAGGTTCTGAATTATCTAAATTATTGTTTTAACTAAATAACCACATGACATTTAAATTATACTTTTAACAAGCTATCTCATGACATTTTAATTGTTTTTTTAGCTAAGTTATCATGTGACACAATGATGAAATGTATTTTTAACTCGTTGACTTATTCATTTTCAGCGTTATGACATGAACTTAAGCTTAAACACCAATGTAAACAGTCAAAAAACGTCTTCTCTATGCATTTAAAGCCAGAGTAACATAAGGAAAAGTACTATCAACAGTAGTAATAGTAATAGTAAGGGGAGAAGGATGAGGAAAACACACACGCAACACTTTCCTTCACTCGTCTGTATTGA